TTTGTTTATAAATCAGAAACAAGTCTTGCCTCTGTACAAATATATCAAACTGAATATTAAACATATCTTAATTCCAATTTAAGTAATGGGTAGGCCGACAATAGCAAAGATGCAAACCCTGAACAGTAGTAGCAGAGACGCAAACCCCGCAAAAAGGACGTGGCGCACTTGTGTCTAGGTTTATAATAGATGGAGGTAGGATAGACATTGTTTCCACATTGTGCGAGAGAGTTGGTAATCTATACTCGTCTTTATCTATGTACAAGACGTTGCATGAGCAGTTTCTCTGCAACGGGCAACATTTACTCATTTGCCATTACTTTAAGCTTACCTCACGCAAAGACATTAGCTAAGTAGCATTGTTCAGTAGATGACAAGCTAGGGCTTTCTTCAAAAGCTCTTAACTTTTTAAAACTAAAAGTAAAAAATTCTGAGAATAATACTCTTCTTTGGTTTTTGACGAAATAGCCATTAGAAAACACTTGAAATACGCTGGTAGTGGATATTATGGATAGGTGAATTGTGGTAATGGTTTGAAGGGAGACACTAAGGAGTTAGCCACTGAAGCTCCGGTATTCATGCTGGTTTGCGTGAATGAAGCATGGAAATTACCAATAGCTTAATTTTTATTGCAGGCATTAATAGCCAACAAAGTCCCCCTAGGAAAAACGCTGTTAGAACGTTGTTAGAACAAGTCGGAGTTACTGTTAGTAACATTACTTTTGATGAGTGTGCAGCTAATTTTTGTATGTGCAATTTATTGAATTGCCAATTCAATAAGACGAATGTTAAAGCTTACTTTACATTTAAAAGTGAAAAACACTTTTTATTACCCGACCTTTCACATGACCAAATTGGTACAAAATTATGTTGGTAAAAAAAACGGTTTAGAGACATTAATGGGAAAATAATTAATTTTGCATTTGTTGAAGAGTTCAATAAATTACAATAAAGAGGGGGACTTCACCTTGGAACAAAACTAAGAAAACACATTAACTTTCTTAAATAAAAAATGAAAGTTAAACTTGCAGTTGCGTTACTGCTAAGCCGTTCGGTTTAGGCATTACTTCATTGTAGAGGTAAGCTACATCTTCCAGAAGTTGCGAACTGTAGTCCCACTGCAAAATTTATTTTATGAATCAATGATGTTTTTAATATATTATATTCCCACAAAATTTCTGATTTTGATTTTAAACAGGCTGCATGCTTAAGAAATTTAAAAAACATTAAATTGTTTTTCCATGAATTTAGGCACTATACAGGGTGATTCAAAATTGGCGTCATTCCTTTTAACCTTTCAGTAGTCGCGGGTGGTCTGACAGACCCAAAGAAAGAGAGTAACGAAAATGAGAAACCTGGCAACCCCGCGAAATCTCCCACTCACAGTAGCTTTGAAGAATTCGGTGCAGATATTAAATAAGTATTCAGTTATTTGTTTGACCGCTTTGGTTTAGGGTTGTGTGTAAAATTTTATGATCAGACCCGGCGCAACCGTTGTAAAATTTTCAGCTTTCAATATCTGTCTGGTCAGTTGTTGTTTTCTATCAACTACCATAGGTTTTATTTACTAGAATTGTTTAATTTAGGTGCAAGATAAGTTATGAAAAAGAGAAGCTACGGCTTTTGAATGAAATGGAAACTGACGAAAAGCCTGCTGATGATGATGAAGATGAAGATATAGTTGACAATGTGGAAGTCAGGGAAGAAGAATCTGAGAGCGAGCAGGAAGCAGAACTTCACAGCGAATCAGAAATATCTATGGGACCTCAATTTCTTGCTAGGGATGGTGTAACAATGTGGAACAAGCATCGCCCAAAAAATCTATTTATTAGTACATTTACCCGATGTAAAAGGAGTTGCAACATCCGCAAAGTCTCCTTTGCAGTACTGGAACCTTTTTTTACTGACGATATGTTAATTTCAATAGTAGAAAATACCAACAAACATATTGATGCCAACAATGGAACAATGCGAAAAAATAAAAGAGAACTACCACCGGAATTTGTAAATACCAAATCCCGTCTAGCTTATTCTAGCATGTTTGGGTTTCAAAAAACTCAAACAATAGTATCTTATATTCCCCGAAAATGTAGAAATGTTATCCTATTTCAAGTATGCATTTTGATGATGCTATAGACTTGACCACTCACGAAAAGAGTAAACCGGAGATCATCACATTCTACAAAATCTGGAGTAGCTGTAGTCGGTAAATTATGTGCAACTTAAAATTGTGCAAGAAATACAAGGAGTTCTCCAATGCTGGTGCTATATTCATGAATGAATGTAGAAGGTATTAATTCACAGATAGTGCATATCGGAAATAATCAAGCAGTAAATAAACTGAGATGACAATTTTGAAAAACTTTAGCACGTGACCTTATAGCAGATCATTTAAAACTTTGTTCTATGCTCACACGTACCACAGCAAGTAAAATAACGTCGCCAAGAGATTGCTGGAACTTCACAGGATCATCCTGCTCGACCACCAGTGGGCACCAGAAAAAGGTGCAAAGACGGGAAGGACAAGGAAGACAAGGAACAAGACAATATATTACTGTGAGAAATGTTTCAAGTTTTTATGCCTATCCCATAGTAATATATTCAACCCTGAGCTGTATCACTCACGTTAACTTTAACGTGCATGTTATCCGTCAAATGAGCTATGTGGCTCCAACTGGTGTGTTATATCAGTAAAACCTTTTTATTATAACAGGCGCACGCTATCGACGAACGTTATATGAAGAAATAGCGCTTCAGAATAATAGCATCAAATCACATGCCGCTTTCGAACTTAACGTGCATCCCTCGAAGTTAACTTCGGGGAATAAATAAAACAAGAGCGTAGTTTTGTCTCTTAGCTATAATTTGTTTTTAATTTAAAAGAAAAATGTGTCTTTTGGTAATCCACTAAGGTTACCTTCATTAGAACAATTGGAAAATGGTCTTGAAAATAAACTTTATTTTCCTCCACAAACTCTTCTAAATTTTCAAATAGTTTGCGGGTTGTTTTTGTGCCTCTTCTGTACATGCTACATTGAAAGTGTTTGAGATGATAGGTCAAGAACAATAACGAACGAAATTGAAAGTGAATGTAAATCATAAATAAAGACAAGCATGGAAGTAAGTGGCCCAAATGGTCAACACGTGCACATGTGGCGGTGGTGCATATGTTTTAGAACCTTCGATGGTTTGATGTTAACTCTTTCTCTAACTAATAGACTATTCGTATAAGGGCATCTCACTTTATGCACCCATATTTTTTCCTTTTTAACGTTTGATAGATAACTGACGGATAACGGAGATATAGCACACCTCGGCAGTTGCTCACAGACTACCCGAGAGTCGAGTTCGCTTGTGTTGGTCAGTCGTGTTTCAATCGAGGATTCGCTTGAAGCAGTCAGTTTAAACCGATTAAGTGAATTGTGTTCAACTGTGTACGATATTAATCACTATTTTTCCACAGGATCACTAGCTATTTTTTAATACCACAATAAATTAGGCGGTATTTCTCAATACCGAAAGCTTGAAATGGAGCCGAAAACAGTGCTGGAGAAGAAGCTTCAGCAGGAAGTGGAGAGGCAAAGGGGACAAATTGCTGAGCTTCTGAACGGAGTCCGAAAGCTGAGGCAACTGCTCGCTGAGCATCTCCGACCTGCAGGAGCTGCTGCAAAGGCGACTGATGCACCAAAGGGGAATCCGGCCAGCTTTAGTGCAGCAATAAAAGCGGCCCCAAAACAACAGGGGTCCAAGAAGAGTCTAGCGGTAGCCCCCAAGGCTGCTGCTAGAAAAAAGCCAGCGGTGGCCATCCCGCAAGCCCCCAGCCACTGCCACCCTACCACCTGCCTCACAGGAAAGCAGGAAGCATAGGCGGGAAGAAGCAGAAGAGGTGGCAGTAATAGAGGAAGAAACCGGGATGGAAACAGACACGCCGGTTACCAGCAAAAAGGCGGAAAGTTTTCCGCCAAACAACGTGAGGGCCAGAGCTGGAAACAGATCAGCAAAGACCTAAGCGAAACAGGGATTGTTGTGAGTAAAGCCACAACAACGAAACAGTGAATAAGCCTAATCGTTAACTCCCCCTCTGATTTCAGGAAGACCACCTAGCTCCTGGAAAAACTCCAGCGGCCGTATTCCACATACACGCTACCAGAGGAGAAGAAAATCCACGTAGTCACTAGGGGGCTGCCTAACGACTACGATGCCTCAGAAATTGAGGCTGAACTGCGGGAGCAGGGCATGGGGGATGCGGAAGCATTCCAGATGCTCAGCCGACGAACTAAGCAGCGATTGGCACTGGTCTTGGTGAAGACCACCAACAAGAGTATCTGGTGTCAAGGTGTCCAGATTGTTCGGAGTAATGGTCAAGATCGAGGCCAAGAGGAAGCCCCAGGAATCAGGGCAATGCTACCGCTGCCAGAGGTACGGGCACTCGCAGCGGAATTTCACATTCCAGCCCAGATGTGCCAAGTGTGGTGAAAACGACAGAAGCAGCGAATGCCCGCTAGCAAAGCCTGGAGCAGAAGAAGAGCGCAACAGCTAGTGCGCACTATGCGGGACTGAGGAACACCCAGCTAGCTGGAGGGTTGCCCGCAGTACCCCAAAAAAAAAAAAAAGATAATGTAAATCAACTGGAAAAACCCATATGGGGCATAATGGATGTTGATGTAGCACTCGACTGGCGTCAGATTAACACCTATAATTTAGTAAAATTTTATACTCTCATTTGCCCTAATTTATTATATTATTCTTGTATAAAATAACCACTCGATATTAGTCTATTCAGGCAAAAATTTAGAATGTAATTTCATTTTTTGGTTGTGCCGTATTATAATCGATAGATCTCTGGTTGCTTGAGAGAGTCGGCCATAAAATCACTCGTATTAAATCTAAATAGACGACTTGGAAGACAATTTAGCGGATTTAACAACGCAGATCTACTTAACATCTCTGACTTTGCAAGTATTTCTCTTAAAACTTAAACGTATTTTACGTTTAAGTTTAACGTACCAATTTGTAGATAGATTGTACATCGAGTTCTCCTTAAACGTCTAATGCACCATGCGCTGTGAATCACCATGTATAAAAAAATTAGTCAGTTTTGAAAACTGAAAATGCCGAACTGCGAAAATGTGTGCTTTAATTGGAAAAGACTTGCGTTGGGCTTATGTCGCCTAACGAAAATTTTTCTAGTTTCATAGGCAAGAAAAGACTGAATTATAATGTTTAGTGAATTACCAGAGAAGCTCCTAAAGCAACTCGCAGACCTTTGATGTAAGTGAAACACTAAAAATAGCAAAACTTTGGGGATATATTGAAAAACCTACGTAAAATCAGCTCCAAATTACTGGGCAGCGATATTGGGCTTTGGCCCTTGCATAGCTGCATAAATGGCACTCGCCCGCACCTTCAGGTTGGTCACTCACTCCATTAGCAAGATTTTGGTTCGCAACTAAATACTCGTTAAATCTGCTTCGGAGGAATTCATCTATAACCTTGAGCGTCCCCAGGGTGTAGAAGCACATAAAGCACAAGAACTGCAAGCAGCGTAATAAAGACAACATCCTCCAACGGGTTTTTTTTTTAGTTGTGAAGTCCAAATAGATGTAATAAGCGGCATCAAGGACTTACTTCATCTGCGGCTAGCACACAAGCACAAAACAAAGCAGCGTGTTGATAAAGAGTTTGAGGTTCTCCAAACCCTCCTCAGAGCTGAGCCACCGRGAGAACGTCCCTCGTTCCACTACTTCTTGCTCTCTTTGGTTGTTTAGCTGCGATTTACTGTTAGTTTGCTCCTTCATGACGATCAACTGGGCAAACTGAAGCCCAAACGACTTGGAGTGAGCTCAATTGAATTAGTTAAAGACTTAAGCGCTTTATTAAATTGACTCCCAGTCCTGTTCGATAACAGAATTTTTTTTCAAAGACACCTTGGCCCTTTGCTCCAAGCTCCAAGGCGGTCTTTTCAAAGGAATCGATCTGCCACTGGGTAGGATGCCGGTGATGTACAGGAAGTACAAGGCTTGGGCCGCAAACCAGACGATCAGCTTCAATGTGGCCCAGTTATGGACTTTTTTGAGTGACGGCCAGCAAACAATCACACCTGCGAGAGATGATGGCTGGTTGAATTGCTATCGAAACTTTCCAGCTACATTGGTGGCTACCTTTGGGCTGATCCTGTTGATTTCGTCCGCAGGATACAGGATATCGGCGTCGACACTTGTTCATAGCCAT